ATCTTGTACGTGATCTCCGTCTGTCAAAATAGCAGGAGGAACTTTTAGCATCAAGACTGCAGGAGGGAACTTGCTAGTGAAACACAAGAATTACGGTTTTTAGGAAAATAAATATTACATTATCTTCATTCTACAGTATGCAGGATTCCCTCTGTACTGATGTAGATGGACTGACGTCAGAGTTGGGAGAAAAACATGACCCAAAGGAATGGCGGCTTTTATAGATTCCTCCAAGTTTAGTTTAAAACAGTATTGTTGTATAAACCAAGCCCTCAGGTCCAGTAGTCCTTTCTGTAGGTTTGAAGGAAACGTTTGAGAGTATAGAGAAAATACTGACTATTAAATACAAGGAGTATAGATGGCAGATCTGGCGATTTGAAGGTTATAGCCCTTCTACTCGGCCTTCAAGAGGTTCACGAAATATTGTTGTTTGTGTTCATGGGACAGCAGAGCAACAGAAAAACACTACAACACAAAGGACTGGCCAAAGAGAGAAGAGTTTGTCCAGGTAAAAGCAACGTTAAAATATCCCCTTGGTAGACCCAGACGATGTACTTCTACCTCCTTTACACATTGCTGAGACTAATGAAGAGTTTGTGAAGGCTGTGGACAAACAAGGTGATGGGTCGTACTTGGGGGATTCTCACAGCTCAGTGATGCTATAGTCAAAGAGGGTATCTTCTGGCCCACAGATAAGAAAGTTACTTGTGATGATGACTTTGAAACAAACTGAATGAAAATGGAGCTAACTGCAGGAGATCCTTCCACCTGTAGTCCATTCACTGCTTTACCTTCTGCTGATAGTGGTTGAATTCCCTTCCTTTCTTTCACTCCTCCTCCTCCCTCTTCATCTTCCTCTATTTTCTCCTCCCCTCTTCCAATCTCCTCCTCCTTCCTTCCCATCCCCCATCCTTCCCACCTACCTCCTCCCAAGGCAAGTTGGTTGGAGGAGATATTGCAAAAGTAAAATCATCAGGTGGAATAAATTGTGGCCATTAGACTACCATGCGTAAACTGAAGCATATTAGTGTTTTAAGAGATGATGTGTCCTCTTCCTCCGTCTCTTTTCTCTCTTTCCTCCTTTCTCTCCTCTCTCCTCCTTCCTCCTCTCTCCTCTCCCTCCGTCTCCACTACCTTCTCCTCCTCCTCTCCTCCTTCCTCCTCTCTCCCTCTCTCTGCCTCCACCTCCTCCTCCTTCCTCTTCCTCCTCCGTCTCACTACCTTCCTACCTCTCCCTCTTCCTTCTCTCTCTCTCCTCCTCCTCTCTCCACCTTCTTCCCTCCCTCTTCCTCCTTCTTCTCTCCCTCTCCCCCTCTGTCTCCTCTCCTCCTTCCTCTTCTCTCCCTCCTCCGTCTCCTTTCCTTTCTTCTTTTATGTCTCCTTTATTCTTCTCTCTCTTTATTTTCTTGGTCCTGTTCCTCCTCCCCTTTAGGGAAGGAGGGAGTAGTAGTAAGGAGGTATGAGGGGAGAGTAAGGGGTAGGCATGAGGGAGGTAAGGCAGTATGAGGAGGTAAGGCAGTAGGGGGAGGTGGTGGTGTAAGGCAGTATGGGGAGAGTAAGGTAGGGTGGCAGTTATGAGGGAGTAAGGTGTAAGGCAGTATGGAGGGGAGAGTAAGGTGTGTAAGGCATGAGGGGAGAGAGGTAAGGCAGTATGAGGGGAGAGTAAGGTGGTAAGGCAGTGAGGGAGAGAGGTGGTGTAAGGCAGTATGGGGGAGGTAAGGTGGTGTAAGGCAGTATGGAGGGGAGTAAGGTGGTGTAAGGCAGTATGAGGGGGAGAGGTGGTGTAAGGCAGTATGAGGGAGGTGTGTGGTGGCAGTAGGAGAGTAAGGTGGGAAGGCAGTATGAGGGGGAGAGTAAGGTGGTGTAAGGCAGTAGGAGGAGAGTATGTGTAAGGCAGTATGGAGGGAGAGGGGGTGTAAGGCAGTATGAGAGGTAGGTGTAAGGCATGAGGGGGTGGGGCAGTGGTGTAAGGCAGTATGAGGAGAGTAGGTGGTGTAAGGCAGTATGGGGGGGGTAAGGTGGTGTAAGGCAGTATGGAGGGAGGGTGGTAAGGCAGTATGAGGGGAGAGGTAAGGCGGAGGGAGGAGGGTGGGAGGTGGCAGGCATGAGGGGAGTAAGGTGGTGTAAGGCAGTATAAGGGGAGAGTAAGGTGTTGTGGTAAGGAGGGGGGAGAGGTAGAATGAGAGGGGAGGTGTGGGGGGCAGTATGAGGGAGGTGTAAGGTGGTGTAAGGCAAAGGAGGGGAGGTAAGGTGGTGGGCAGTATGAGGGGAGAGTAAGGGGTGTAAGGCAGCATGAGGGGAGAGGTGTGGGGCAGCAGAGGGGAGAGAAGGAAGGCAGTATGAGGGGAGAGGTAGGTAAGGAGGGAGAGTAAGGTGGTGTAAGGCAGTATAAGGGGAGTATAAGGTGGTGTAAGGGTATGAGGGGGAGAATGGGTGGTGTAAGGCATGAGGGGAAGAGTAAAGTGGTGTAAGGCAGTATGAGGGAGAGTAAGGTGGTGTAAGGCAGTATGAGGGGGAAGAGTAAGGTGGTGTAAGGCAGCATGAGGGGAGGTGGTGTGGCAAGGAGGGGAGAAGGTGGTGTAAGGCAGTAAGGGGAGAGTAAGGTGGTGTAAGGCATGAGGGGAGAGTAAGGTGGTGTAAGGCAAGAGAGAGTAAGGTGGGGCAGTATGGGGGAGAGTATGGTGTAAGGCAGTATGAGGGGAGAGTAAGGTGTGGGGTGTATGAGGGAGAGAAGGGTAAGGCAGTATAAGGGGAGAGGTGGGGAGTATGAGGGAGAGTGTGTAAGGCAGTATGAGGGGAGATTAAGGTAAGGCAGTATGAGGGAGAGTAAGGTGGTGTAAGGCAGTATGAGGGAGAGGAGGGTGTAAGGCAGTAGGAGGGGAGAGGTAGTGGAAGGCATGAGGGGAGAGGGTGTAAGGCAGTAGAGGGGTGGTGGTGAGGGTATAAGGGAGGTGTGAGGCCGCAGTTTGATCATTACAAGAGAAATCAGCTTTAACAGGATATGTCCTTGCAAGGCAGTTCTCTCTCTCTCTCTCTCTCTTACTTTCTTCACCCTTCCCCTTCTCTCCTTCACCGCCCTCTCTCTCCTCCTCCTCCTCCTCCTCCCTCCTCCTCCTCCTCCTCCTCTGTTCCCTCGTGGGTCAAAGGTCATGCTCTACACTGCTAGCCATGTCAAGTCTATATGTGTCTGTCTGCCTCTGTCCGTGTATCTCATCCATCGTGTGTGTGTGTGTGTGTGTGTGTGTAAACAGTACTTACACCAGCTATGTGTACACAGTATTTGTATTCACTTTGTCTCATCATGTCGCATCCTGTGTGTGTGTACATGTATGCGGCGCTAAGGACGACGAGACACACACACACACACACACACACACACACACACACACACACACACACACACACACACACACACACACACAACACACACACACACACACACACACACACACACACACACACACACACACACACACACAGACATTGAGAAAAATCTACATGAGCCTGATTGATTTTCTGTCCAATAAGCGACGTGTGTGATTAAATGTTCCCCCCAAAAAATAATAATAATCAAATATAAATAACATAATATAATTGGATCCTAAACTACTCGATAAATATTGTGAATTGTTGGAGGTAGGGATTAGTGTTGGAGGTAGGGATTGGTGTTGGAGGTAGGGTATGGTGTTGGAGGTAGGGATTAGTGTTGGAGGTAGGGATTAGTGTTGGAGGTAGGGATTAGTGTTGGAGGTAGGGATTAGTGTTGGAGGTAGGGATTAGTGTTGGAGGTAGGGATTAGTGTTGGAGGTAGGGATTAGTGTTGAGGTAGGGATTTAGTGTTGGAGTGTAGGGACAGTGTTGGAGGTAGGGTATGTAGTGTTGAGTGTAGGGATTAGTGGCTAGTTGTAGGGATTAGTGTTGGAGGTAGTATGGTGTTGGAGTGTAGGGATTAGTGTTGGAGGTAGAAATTAGTGTTGGAGGCAGGGATTATGTTGGAGGTAGGGATTAGTGCTGGGAGGTGTGAAATTAGTGTTGGAGGTAGGGATGAAAGCTGGAGGTAGGGGATTAGTGTTGGAGTGTAGGGATTAGTGCTGGAGATAGGGGATTGGTGTTGGAGGTAGGAATTAGTGTTGGAGGTGTAGGGATTAATGTTGGAGGTAGGGATTGGTGTTGAGTGTAGGGATTAGTGTTGGAGGTAGGAATTAGTGCTGGAGTAGGGTATGGTGTTGTGGAGGTATATATGGCTGAAGTGTTGAGATTTTTAATAACGTGTGTGTGTGTGTGTGTGTGTGAAGATATGCTAAATAATACATTCTTTTTTCGAGAGGATGGCAGTCTTTCTCCCTCCACCTCTCCTCCCTCCCCACCTCCTATATCTCTCCTCCTCTCCCTCCTCCACCTCTCCCTCCCCCACCCTCCTCCTATCTCTCCTCTCCTCCCCCTCTCCCTCCACCTCTCTCTCCTCTGCGCACCTCTCCTCCTCCTATATCTCCTCCCCCTCCTCCACCCGTCCCCCTCCTTAATTAATCTTTTGTGTTATCTAATCCATACATGTAATTAATGTATCTTTTGTGTGGCGCTGATCACCTGTAGGCTGTGAGTGTAGTGTGGGTGTAGTGTGGGTGTAGTGTGGGTGTGCTGTTCAGAGGTTGATGAACATTGATGGCAGAGCTAGAGCACATTGAGGAGCCCTGGTGTTATAGCTAAAGTGAACGAGAACAAGTCTTGGGAAATCTATATAGTTCATTCGTCATCGTAAAGTGAAATTTTATACCATGAGAAATACACTGCAAAAACCTTATAAATTCTTCACTATTGTATTTCCTGTGGTTAGCAACTTTTAAATATTAACCTTTGGTACATGAGTTTTTTTTTTAATACAATTTATCTTTTTGTGTTGATGCAGTAAAGAGTTTATTAAATATATTTCACATTGGTACAGAGTAAAGCCTTTATTTATTTATTTATATTATTTATCATTATTATTTTTCTCCCCACAGAGCAAAGCGTGCGCGTCGGTGCTGCTAGAACAGGTTTGCCGCCAGCTAAACCTACTGGAGTCAGACTACTTTGGCCTGGAATACACAGATGGCAACACTCGCTACTGGCTCGACCTTGAGAAACCTATGAACAGACAGGTGGGTGATGACGAGGTGTGTGGGGAGGGAGGCTACAGGTAGGTCATTTCTTATAATAATAATAATAGTTATGAAGATGACAAAAAATAATAATAGTAATAATGATAATAATAATAATACATTTTGTTATAGTATTTAGTGTTGGAGGTAATTCTGGAGGGTTGTAAGAGGTCAAGGAGGTAATGGGAAAGTTGTGGAGGTCAAGGAGGTAATGGAGGAGGGTTGTAAGAGGTAGTGGGGTGGTCAAGGGGGGGGGTAGGCGACTAGACCAGAGGTGACCCCCATGAGACATCATCATAAAACACACACACACACCTGGGCTCTGGGGGAACCTGTTAATGGCTCACTGGCTAGTCTATGTCTGACTCGTATTCTCCTCCTCCTCTTCTTCCTTGTTCTTCTCTTCATCCTCTTCCTCCTCTAACCCCTTCTTTCTTGTTATCTTCTATGTTATCCTCCTTCTTCTTGTTCCCCTCCTCCTCCTTGTTCTTCTCCTCCCCCTTGTTCTTCTCCTCCCCCTTGTTCTCCTTCTCCTTGTTCTTCTCCTCCCCCTTGTTCTCCTTCTCCTTGTTCTTCTCCTTGTTATTCTCCTCCTTGTTCCCCTCCTCCTTGTTCTTCTCCTCCCCTTGTTCTCCTTCTCCTTGTTCTCCTTCTTGTTCTTCTCCTTCTTGTTATTCTCCTCCTCCTTGTTCTTCTCCTCCTCCTTGTTCTTCTCCTTGTTCTTCTTATTCTCCTTCTTGTTCTTCTCCTTCTTGTTATCCTCCTCTTCCTTGTTCTTCTCCTCCTCATGGTCCTCCTCCTTTTCCTCCTAGTTATTCGCCTTGTTATCCTCCTCCTCCTCCTCCTTGTTCTTCTCCTCATTGTTCTCCTCCTTCTCCTCATTTACGACCTTGGGATTACCTCGGCCAGGGGAGGTAGGAAGGACAAATGCAGTGAGTGAAGCAGTAACATGAGAAGGTGGTTAGAGGGGGAAGGGAGGGACTAGACTCACTTATATAGATTGATAAAACCAGCTCCTTGACCTAAATTGTAAGGGGAGTGTGTATGTATTTGGCGAGTCACTACATGTATGTGGCGAGTCACTACATGTATTTGGCGAGTCACCACATGTATTTGGCGAGTCACCACATGTATTTGGCGAGTCACCACATGTATTTGGCGAGTTACAGTAACTGGATTTAGGTATACTGTAAGCTAGACAAACTACAGCTTAGGGCCTCACAGTCTGAAGGGGCCTCTCAAAATTTCAGAATTTGTTACAGTTTTATTATAATTTACATTTAAGTAATGATTTAACCTAATTAACATGCAGCTAATTATGCTATATATCTATAGATAGACTGAGAAGAAGTGTCAGCTCCTTAATATTCAGATCCATGGTGACATTTTTCCCACTTTGGCTGAGAAGAGCAACAGTTTACAATTATGCTGCTCGCAAGTTTTCATTTTTACTTGATTTAGAAGCTTCAGAGGAACAGCTGCGTGAAGCTGTATAAATTTTGATGAAAGATTATCCAAACGATGTTGATGTTAATCTCACCGGAGAACTAAAGCACTTCCATGTTTATATCAAGACAAACCATTCAGGAAACGGACACTTGTGCCACCAAGATCTGTATCAGGTCATCTTCCAAGACACGATTCATTTAGCTTTTCCTTATGTTGAAGCAATACTACGGCTATTTTTAAGTCTAGTGGTAGCAAACTGCTCAGGTGAAAGATCATTTTCACGACTAGAAAGAATTAAAAATGAGCTGCGAGCAACAGTGACACAAGACAAGCTGTCTGCACTTAGTATTATGTGCATAGAAAGTGATAAACTTCATAGCTTATCTCTTGAAGACATTATTCATGACTTTTCTTTTAAAAAAGTAAGAAAGAAATGTTGAAAACTGACTGATTTCTTATGTTTTATCAGTGTACATGTATTTGGCGAGTCACAACAGTACTAGTAAATATTTGTAAAAAGTTGAGTCATGTAGTGTAGGATTGGAGGTGTTGTCAAACCTGTCAGAACCCAATCCCTGTATAGGTAGCCAACACTTGCACTATTCACCCATGGTACACACATCCACTTGCATTATTCACCCATGGTACACACACATACACATTATTCACCCATGGTACACACATATACACATTATTCACCCATGATCCACACACACATACACACATTATTCAACCATCCATACAAACAGTAGATCTTCATAACATTTAACCCAGACATAATTTTATAAACACACCTTCTTAAGTCTTCATTTTAACCACTTACAATTATCCATTTATCCGATACATTGCGACTTAATCCGTTTTTTAAGATAATATAACGACTCATGTGATTTCATTATAATGGGAGAATATATCCAACAGGTTTGTTTGAGTCAAGTGGAGCCAGTGCTGAGGTTTTGCGTCAAATTCTACACCCCCGATCCCGCCCAACTGGAGGAGGAGTATACCCGCTACCTCTTCGCCCTCCAGATCAAGCGAGACCTTGCCCACGGTTGGCTCATGTGTAACGACAACACTGCCGCTCTCATGGCCTCCTATATCGTTCAAGGTAAACTGTTCGTGGTCGTTGGTTCATCTGTCTGTAGGTGTTTCTTGTGTACAGTGTGTTGTTATGCTGGTCTTGAGATAACGTTGTGGGCCGAGTTATCAGTAATTGCTAAGGGTAGGTTAGGTTAGGTTAGATTAGATTAGGTGAAGTTAGGTTAGATTAGGTGGTTAGATGAGGTCAGGTCAGGTCAGGTCAGGTCAAATAAAGTCAGGTTAGGTTAGTTTAGATTAGGTGAAGTTAGGTAAGGTCAGGTCAAATAAAGTTAGGATGGGTTAGGTTAAGTAAGATTTAGTGTATCTACAAACTGACAAAAACTACTGCTACGATAAGATGTTGAACAGTGTTATAGGAATACTGTACATTGAACGAAGAAGTTATAGCCTAATTATTAAAAAATACATTAATGTCTTAGCTCCAAGTTTGATAAAGGCAAGTGATCAGGTAATTTTCATCACTCAAAGAATCTTTATATTTCAATAAATTCCTGGCAGTATAGGTGTTTGATATAGTTTTTATGCCCAATATATTTGAATTGGTTGGAAATATGTTACCCTTGTGTGTCTGTTTGGCCTGTGTCTGTTCTATAACTTGAGTAAGACTTATTGAACCAGAATAGAATTGATTTTGACTTGAGTTAGGTTTATACAGTATTCAACTCTTTCTCTTCATATTTGTCATCATTTATTTTTTTAATATATACTTTTAATGGACATATCTCACCTTTGTTTATTTTAGATTATTTTAATTTATAACTAATAATCTACGGTATAGCAAACTTAAACTACCAGACCTAACCGTCGCCAGTCTCTAAGAATAACATCGACGAAACTCACTCCCTCTTACTTTATTTTAGCCGAATGTGGAGACTTTGTAGAAGAGGATTACCCCGACCATCGCTACCTCTCCTTGTACAAGTTCGTTCCCACTCAAGATCCAGAGTTAGAGAGAAAAATCATGGATAACCACAAAAAACATGTGTGAGTATAGTAGAGGGATGACTGTCTGGGCTCTAGTTTATATTCTTGACAGTGTGTAAACTTTTCTATGCTGCGAAGTAAGGGTTTAGCGACTATCTTGGGGGTGTGTGTTAATTGGGACGATATTCCGGGCTTTTTTAATTTTATTTTCTTTCTTTCTTTCTTTCTTTCTTTCTTTCTTTCTTTCCATTTATAGTCCAGTAGTCTTAACTTGGTTTACTGAAGGAGGTACAGTATGGACAAATGCCTGAAGGTGGGGTGGAGGATCCTGGGTTGGGGGGGGGTATTAGTCAATGATGTTAGGGCCTAGGGGAGGTATTGGGGAAGAGATCATGGAGGGTTAGAGAGAGAGAGGTCACAAGGGGGAGGGGTGGGGGAGGAAGAGGTTACAAGGGGAAGGGGGAAAGGTCATGAAGGGAGGGATGAGGGGTCACAAACAGGAGGGGAAGAGGTCATGGGAGGGGGATTGGGAAAGAGGTCATGGGAGGGGGGGGGAGAGATTTGCAAAGAGGTCATGGGATGGGGGAGAGGTCACAAGGGAGGGAGGACTGTTAGGGAGAATGAAATAGTGACATTGATACCCAAGTTATACTGCACAATTCAATCTCTTTCTGGTTAAATATTAAACTTTATGCGACAAATGGCTGAATTTATATGAATAGTTGAGAGGCAATATAGAGAAGTGTTCGGACTATGCTGTGGTAAAGGGGTGAGGTCGTGTGTATGTGTACAAGTGTGTGTATGTACATGAATGTCTGTGTGTATAAATGAATATATATGTATGTATAACCTTACCTAACCGAATGTAACCTTACTTAACCTAATTTATAGCTAGTTTGGTTTAGATTGTGAAAGTAATTGATAAATAAAACAGTAAATTTACCACATTAGCAGTAAAAAAATAAATGATATCCCTATTTGGCCAAAACATCTGCTGCATTGTAAGGTTTAACCAGATACTTCCTTACCGTCGCAGGTGTATGTGTGGGTTTGTGTATCAAATGTTTGTGTGGGTTTGTGTATATGTTGTGTATCACTGGCCTGGGCTCACTGCCAAGATAGGGGAGGGTGGGGGTGGGGAGGGGGGGTAGTTCCTTTATAGTATGTGTCTTATAGTGAGGGTGATGGGGGTGGGGGGGATGCTTTCAGGCAGAGAAATCTAGTGTGTCAGTTTTTTTTTATAACGGCTAAACTTGTTCTTAGTATCTGTTTCACAATTTAGCTAAGGTAAGGTCGAGGTATATTTTGTGCCTTGGTATGTAATAGTTTTAGATTATTGCATTTGTCGTTTTCTTTTTTTCATTGGCTGATTAATTCTTACGCAATATAAAGTAATCGAAGGAATTTGAAATGGAGATAATACTAAATATTTTCTAATGAGATTTTTAATGTGTTTTGATAAGTAATAAACATATACTGTACTGTAAAGTTGGATCCAGTACTATACTGTTCACTGTATGTCTTGTCCAGTTTCAACAGCTAAGTTATCTTCTTGCATTTTCTGTACTGTGATATTGGATCTCTCTCTTTCTCTCTCCCTTTCTCTCTCTCTCTCTCTCTTTTCCTCTTTATCTTTCCCTCTCATTTCTCTCTCTCTCTCTCTTTTCTCTCTTTCTTACCACCACTACTTGGCTGATCATCCACTGAAATATTATCCTGTGTACCATAACCCCCCCCCTCCTCCCCCAAGAGTAGTGGGGGTCTTGAGGACATTTCCCCTCCTAACTGTGACTTAAAGCAGATAATAACCCAATAATTCGTCTCATATCCTCCCTTCCTCTGGTTAGGTAGTGTATTTTAAGCTTAAAATTTGAGTGAATAGTTCAGTATTTTTAGCACCATAGTCTTGATCACTGGACAAACATGCATTGCTATCTCTCATTAACTTTTTTATTTCTATGTAGTTTCGATTACTAATATTTATACCTTGTTCATTACCATTTTGTTTGAGGGTATTATTATTTTTTTATTACTTTGACTTTGTAGTGAAATACTGTATCCATTATTTATTTTTAGAGAGACGTTTAATAACAATTTACATGTGTATTTTTTAGGGGCATGACACCAGCTGCTGCTGATCTGAACCTCCTGGAAACTGCAAGAAGATGTGAATTTTATGGTATAAAGATGCATCCAGCAAAGGTAGGTCTTCGGAGTTGTATTTTCAGGCTCCGAGGCTTGTTAATGTGGTACAGTAATCCTTTATTATTAAACACTAAAGATAAAATAAACCTTTTTCCATTTGTAGATGTGAGTTATAGATATTTTATCACACTTAAACACTAAACTATTTTTACCTCCAACAAACTTAACCATTAGGATTTTGGCCCTGTCTTAGTAGGGTCAAGTTCTAATGGGTTTCATTCTTATTCACTGCTAATGGATGGTGTCAGGACCTATTAGAACTGGGGTTCATTTGAGTTGCTACCAAACCATAGAGGGGTAATGATAGGTTAAGGAAGTACAGTATACCAAACTAGCAGGTTAAAATGTCTAAGGGGAAGAGCCAATGGTGGAGTTAAGAGTACAGTATTACCCCGCCTAACGCGGTTTCACTTAACGCGTTTTTTCATATACGCGGTGCCTTGCCAGAAGCGAACTTTCACTTAACACGGATTTTTTCCACATATACGCGGTGAGTGTCCGGCTCGAGACGCTATTTTTAGATTTGCCCCACCCGCCACCCTGCCTGACTGCCTGTTTTAGCTCATAAAATTCATACAAATTACCCGGCCAGAATATAATTTACATTGCTGGAATTCTTATAATTTGGTGATCATTTTGAATATGAACATCATATATTTTGCATTAGACATACAAATTTTAGATAAAATTTTTTCTCTGAGTAACTATGTTATCTTTTGTGCAAAATATATGACATTTATATTCAAAATATTCCTGGTCTTACAAGGAATCCAGCAATGTCAATTGTATTATCCTAACTTTAGTTTGAGGTATTATTTATTAAAATTTAGTAGTTTTCCCCCAAAAATTTCTCAGAGGGAAGAGCCGGCAGTGTAGTGTGAGAAGAGGGGGAGGGAGTTGAGTCCATTATTTGAATGGACATTAACTTGGTGACTGTATTTCTCTATTTCTCTTAAGTATTATTTGTGTGCATGTACCATCATAAAATTAAGATGTTATTTTTACTACAACATAGTTATGTGTCTTCAAAAAGTGGAGTTTGGGGGTCGGGCCGGTTTCTATTGGAATTAATCCCATATGTTCTGTTGTTCACTTAACGAGGATTTCACTTAACGCGGGACCCTCTGGGTTCTATTGACCGCGTTAAGTGGGGTACAACTGTACTGTATAGTTCCCTTGTCCTCTCCTGTAATAATGTGGAGGATATTCGTTATGTGTTGCCATTTGAAGACCGAGTTTTGCGCCGGGGAACCTCATTGATTTATGTCCTTTTGTGGTAATTGTTAAAGAAGTGATAGGTGTTTGAGCTCTCTAAGTGATATAAAAAAAGGGGCAGCGAAGTGAATTGATTGAACAGTAGCAATGATTATGTAACGTGAAAACAATTAGCTGTGGGTCTTTGTAGAATAGTTGGGGGAAGAGAAATTTGTGTGTTAGGAGTTTAAGTTATTTCATGCAATGCTTCCTTTTTCTATCACAGGATAATGAAGGAGTGCCCCTAAACCTTGCAGTGGCACACATGGGCGTTCTGGTGTTCCAAAATTACACAAAGATAAATACCTTCTCTTGGGCCAAAATAAGAAAACTTTCCTTCAAGCGAAAACGTTTCCTAACCAAATTACATCCAGAAGGATATGTAAGTAAATTTGACACAAGTAAGCCTGTAGATGGATAGATGTGGTTATACCTCTTGTGTCTTAAAGTATACTGTATATGCTCCTGAAAATCAGTCATCTATTTTTCCTTTAATTTATCTTTCCTTTTTTTTTTTTTTAGAAAGCTCTCATTGTAGTGGGCATATTTTGATACACTTTAGTAGTCAAGTTAATATTCTTCTGTAGCTTTTTATCAATAATTTCTACTTCTTATTTTCTCGAAGATGTAGTGACTTGTCATCACTGGACTACGAGATTGAAGTACAAATCTCTTGGGGTTGGTGTTTGGGCATTATTATTTTTGTTTGGGATTCATGACAATTTTATAAACTCTTTTATGAGAATAACTTTTAGAATATTACTTCATTATCCGGTAAAGGTCAGATGGGTGCGGTATATTCAGTAACATTAGACAGACAGTTTTAAAGCGTTTGTTTTATTGTAATACAGCGAATAAAAGCTTCTCAATGATTTTCAGGTCATATCAATAAACATATAATTTTGTAGTATATGTAGTTGATATATATATATAAGTGTCACAAACATAGCTGATATACCATGAAATAATATAACTAAAAAAAAAACAAAAAATTCTTTAATATATACTGTATACCATAATGTGCCTATAGTTATACTGCATATATTATTGTTGTTACTTATATGATAAAATTTATAACTTGAGATCATTAGTAACTTACAGAGAATTTCAACATGATTTCTTATTTCCCCTCCCCCCCTTGTGATTGGCTGGTCGTCCCCCCCCACTCAGGGCGAGGTAGTGTAACGTGTCAATCAGCTGTGTGTTTTTGTCAGCCCGCCTACCGCATGTCTCTAACTTACTAACTGTCGGCCAGCCGTTACTACACTGGCATGGTGTAGATTCGTAGCAATAATGGCGTCGTCTTTGGTGTAATCGGAACTAGTGAATTAATATATACAGTATCATCTTTGTAAAATTATTTTGAGGTGTCACCGGTCGATTCGTGTTTGAGGGTCAGGTCGGACTTGCCATTATTGCTGTTTGATCACACCTAAATGCTTTAAGAATCAAAATTGGGATAATAACTTTTTATATATACATGTTAAGGAGATACTGATGTTACTGGTGGTCTTGTTTTTTGCTGTTGAGTTCTCTTTTATTTTTGTTTTTGCAGATGTTACAAATAAATACCCTTTAAATATTTGTTTTTTATATATATATATATACAGTATATATAAAATACAAAAGCAACGTAACACTAAATAAGGATGATTTTATAAGCAAGAGAGAGAGAGAGAGAGAGAGAGAGACAGACTGGTTAATGTAAATTGTGTTTGATATAAATCTTAAACTTTTATGTATTTTGTAGGATATATTATATATATTTTTTGCAACAATACAGTTCGTTGTTTTCTAGACGTACCATTATTTACATGTCAGTCACGTGTCCAAACCTTACATTCCATTTATGCATTAATAGAGAGTAGTTGTACTGTACACTATAGTTCCAACAATGTCTTGGCTATGCTGCGGTTGGTTGCTTCACTCATCGTAAAATCTTGCATTGTACCTTTCACCAAGTCACCAAACGATAATTACATGGGCCTAGTGTTAACCGTAATGACGTGCATGATATAAGGTAATGGTCATACTTGGGCTGTTAAACTAATTCAGATAATATAAGAGAAAAAGATTTGTAATACTTGTAGCCAGTATTTTTCTTCAAATTAACAAGTAATGTACATAAATATCAAGGTGTGCGATGCTTAACTTTTCCTGTCAATAACTCAAGTTGTGAAGAAATATTACGCTTAGGGAGACATTCTTTGGACAATAGTAGTAAGACTGATTTTCATCTCTTCAAGCTGCCTTATGGAGGACGGTGGCCAGAGGTGTGTTGACCCCAGCTTCCTATATAAAAAATAAATAAAACCTTCATTAATGATGTATTCGTAAAAAAAAGAAAAAAAGAATTTCTGATTGATATGCTAAAATAAATCCAGTTATTGACTATTACAGAACAAGAGACGGTGTGATTACCATCTCTTGTGATTATTAGTCAATGTAATTGTTATTTCTTATTTTAGTTATTATCAAGATGTAGTTAATTAAAATACTCATGATTGCTGTTATTTATATTTTGTTAACACTCGTCATGAAGCCAGTTTTTTGGTGTGGTTTTCACATCATTGTTTATGTACTTAACAGGGTATTTTAATTTTGTTATTATTTATGCATTCAGCCTTTTGTTAGTATAGTAATTTTATGCTTTAATTAGCGGTGGTATCAGATGATTTGAACTAATACAGTACCAGTATAAATTGAAGATACACAATGACAAATTTCTCTCTTCATTACTTCATTACTCTAGTTATTTATGAAGGAAAGAATGAATGTTTTCCTTCCCCCCCACACTGTATGTATGACCATGAGGAGTGTATATGTAAGGCTGTGTGTCCTGTCTCCTCTCTTCCTGAACCGCGAACCCCGAGATTCAGACTTATGAACCCGAAGCATTTATGGACAGAATAATGCATCAGTCTACTGCTTCGGGTTTAACGAGTCTGAATCTTGGGGTTCGCGGTTCAGGAGGATAGGTGACAGGACTTTTGTGGGTGACTGTACATAGGTAGGAGGAGAGTTTATGATAATACAAAACTGAACAAATTTGTATACTATATTCCTGTATTAAGGGTAACTACAGTATCTAAGGAAGAAAAGAGAGCTTGAGATCGATGCAAATGATAACACGATTTTTATTTATCGTTGAATAGACATAAACGATTTGAGTACCTGACAGTATTTATATCAGAGGTGTCAAAGAGTGATGAAGGTGGATAGATAATGGAAATAGTTTTCTAAGTAAGATTATGTTGATGGAATGGAGTGATGGTGGGTAGAGTGCCGGTGCATGAGGTTAAAGAACAGAGAAGGGAGGAGTGAGTAGATCCACAAACGGGTATGTGTAGAAAAAGATGATTAATGGAAGAATAACAAAAACCAGTTCATTCAGTAAGATACAATGAAGAAGTAAGAGAGAGAGAGAGAGAGAGAAAGGTTATACCCATATAGTAGTTGAATGTCTGAGTTTGGTTGTACTTGATAAATGTTGTAAAAAGTACTTGAAAGTAACTATGCATGTTCATTCTGCATGAGTTTTAGGTTGACATTGAAGTGAAATTAAGTTTAGTTTGAATACATCTTCTTTTTCTTTCTCAACTGTAGATCTCATTTCACTTATTCACCCCAACTCACTCGATCCTACACTTTTACTCTCAACACTCTTCTCTTTTGTCATAGATCTATTAATTATCTGATGAGCTTATTGTAGACTCACTTGTATATTGTGCTTAAGAGGATGGTTAATAGTACTGGATCCCATGTAATAATAATAATAAGGGGCATAATGATTTTAACTGCCTTAACCCTATAGATGTCATAACAAGTGATATGGGTGCTATATGCAGTGCTTATTTCTGGTCTAGTCTAATTTTTTTTTATTTTTGGGAGTGTAGTTTTTCTTTGTTTATATCTATACTGTAATGGATTAGGTTATAAAGGATTAAAAATGGGAAGTCTTTGTAAAATTCTTAATTATTCAATCTGAGATTTGTAAAATATTTAAAAAAAAAATTTTGAGACTATAACTTGAATATTGAAGATTTTGATTCAGAATATAGTTATGATGTTTAGATAAAGAAAACATTAAAACTTTACAACTATTGTATAAGAACAGTGAGCATTTGTGTAAGAGAGAATTGTAAGCAAAGTTTCATTCTTGTCAGGCAGAGAGTACAGTACATGTAGTGAAAAATTTCCTTAAGCTCAGTGAGAAGTATAAATGTTTGTTCCTAAATTAGTTTAACAAATGCAAACAATGTTCCAGGGCTATTACAAGGATATTGTTGAATTCTTCTTTGACGGCCGAAACGAATGCAAAAATTTCTGGAAAAAATGTGTGGAGCACCATGGGTTCTTCCGGTGTTCCCAAGTTAAAAAAGTCCCACGCCAAAAAACCAGAGTTCTGTCAAGGGGATCCTCATTTAGGTGAGTCTCTGTGTACAGTACTTCAGGGCACAAAATGATGGGTATTGTTGTTATTTAATGTTATCGAATTGTGGTTAGGTGAGGTGAGGTGACGTGACATTTTCTGGTAGTGGCTCATTTTATTACAAGAATATTTATTTTTGTATGTATAATATATACAGTATTGTGTTTATTTAGACGAATAAGGATGAAGGAGGCAGGTATAAGTAAGGAAGATGAATAAGGATGAAGGAGGCAGGTATAAGTAAGGAAGATGAATAAGGATGAAGGAGGCAGGTATAAGTAAGGAGGATGAATAAGGATGAAGAAGGCAGGTATAAGGAAGGAGGATGAATAAGGATGAAGGAAGACACCAGTGAACTACATGACTGAATGACAGATGATGGTGTCAGATTTTTAAGGGGGTGTTATGGTAGTAAGGGTAAGTGACTGACTTTGAATAGAGAGAGAGAAAGGGGAAGGAGAGAGAGAGAAAGAGAGAATTTAAATAGAGGAGGAAAAAATGAAAAAATAGAGAAATTGGAAAGTATAGATAATGGACTAAATTATTTACCAAAAGCCAAGACAAACTTATGTTAAGGACCTAACTTGTTTATGTCTTCTAGCTTGTTTATTTATGCCTTGTAACTTGTTTATGTATGTCTTGTTTATTTTTCCCAACAGATACAGCGGCAGGACACAGAAGCAAGTTCAAGAGTTTGTCAGAGATAACTATGTAAAAAGAGCTCCATTTCAAAGGTACTACAGTACAGTAATAATGATGTTCTGTATCTTGGTTATCCATCAGTACAGTAGTTAGGTTGGAATTACAGTACAGTAATAGTCACCAATACAGCTAACTGTAGTTTTTATTTGACTCTATATATAGATATATCCATGTGATAATACAGTACAGTGATATCTCCGTTAACCAAAATCCCTCAAACCCGGAACTCTCCTATAGCCGGAACTGAAATTTTGTCAAAAAATTGTTCCCAAAGCCGGAATATTCCGAAAAATTCCGGCTTTGGGAACGATTTTCTGGGTTTTAGAAATGAAAATCACGTGCATTTTCTGGAAATTCCAAGAAAAATTTTCCAGTACCCATAAAATTCTGGAAAATTCTGGGGATGGGGGATATTTTTCCGGGTTCGAGAGATAATGTAATTGGCAATTACTGGAACTTCCGAGAAAATATTTTCGTTCCCTGGAAAATTCCGGAGATGTGGGATTTTTTCCGGCTTTGAGAGAGTCGTCTCGTTACCCAGAAATCTCTCATTCCCGGAAGTGCTCTGCACCAATTGTTCCGGCTTACGGAAATATCACTGTACGTTACTTTGATGTAATATAATTTGACCCTATATTTATGAAGTATTTTTGCTATATATTAAAACACATCAGTAGATTTGAATAAAGCTTTTTAAATACTCTGTACAGTACTATTATATGTACGATACAATAGTTACTTGTATAGTTTTGAAAAGTTAAAAAGTTCCAAAATGCAAAAGTTAGACAAAAAGTACAAAGTTCCTCAAATGCACAAGTAAGATCCCTTTTATTAACAGATCACAGTCATTTCGACACTCTCCCTCTGTACATACGAGCGTGAGCAACGTTGGCATGAGTATCTCAGCACAACCTCTCCTTCCTCTCGGTGACAATCAGTGTAGTAAGTATTTTTTGGGGTCGTTTGTGTCGTAGGTTTTTTTTTTTACCTGGCACGAGATTGATATGAGTTGTGTGTATTGGTTGTCAAGTTTATAGGTTAGGAAAAATTTTTTGGGGGGGTGGGGGGGGAGGGTCAGTCTTGGCCCCTGGGTAGTAAGTCCTGGTTTCAGTCTTGGCCCAGTAAGTCCTGGTTTCAGTTCCTGGCCCTGGGTAGTAAGTCCTGGTTTCAGTCTTGGCCCTGGTAGTAAGTCCTGGTTTCAGTCTTGGCCCTGGGTAGTAAGTCCTGGTTTCAGTCTTGGCCCCTGGGTAGTAAGTCCTGTAAGTTTCAGTCTTGGCCCTGGGTAGTAAGTCCTGGTTTCAGTCTTGGCCCTGGGTAGTAAGTCCTGGTTTCAGTCTTGGCCCTGGGTAGTAAGTCCTGGTTTCAGTCTTGGCCCTGGGTAGTAAGTCCTGGTTTCAGTCTTGGCCTTGGGAAGTAAACAAGCAAAGGGACTGACCAGATTATAAACAAGTTAAGTGACTGACCAGATTATAAACAAGCAAAGGGACTGACCAGATTATAAACAAGCAAAGGGACTGACCAGATTATAAACAAGCTAAGTGACTCACCAGATTATAAACAAGCAAAGGGACTGACCAGATTATAAACAAGCAAAGTCACTGACCATATTATAAACAAGCTAAGGGACTGGCCAGATTATAAACAAGCTAAGGGACTCACCAGATTATAATCAAGCTAAGTGCCCTATCTCCCATATTGGTCACAGGGGAGTTTAGGCAGGTCAATACAGGAGGCCATAATGGTGTCATAATGAGGCAAAAGGAGTTGTTCTATTTGGCTTGGCATTTTGTTTTGCAGACAAGGATGCAGTTGGTGGCATTATACCTAAGTTTTCCCTCAGTCTTCATTAAAAAAATTTTTTTTTTCAGGATCAGGCAATCGTTAACCCATCCACTATTCTCCGTTCCGTGTTAACTCATCCATTCCATCTTTTTTTCAGAGTAGAATCATAAGGATTTTATTACGTTCAATAGATATCCGAGTGTGGCGATGGGTCTCTCTTCTTAAACCTGGTTGTGTTTTGGCTTGGATACAGAGAGATTTATTGAACATGATTTTTAAGTAAAGCAAAACGAGTGTAGACAATTATTTATACTACATAAAGTTTAAAATTTTAGGAAGAGGAACAAAGAATTTCACTAGCACCGTAAGGAAGTGAGATGCCCTGTTTATGCGAGAGAATGTATATTGCTTAGTACAATATCTTGTAAATGGGAGAAGGAAGGAAGGTTCCCACAACAGATGAGATGCATATATATAGAAAACCAAGTAATGGAAGTCTGTATTGTGGTATAAGATGAGACATAAACAACAGGGATTATATATCTTGTTTAGGTATGGAAGAAAGATAGTAATTAATTATACCATGAGAAGAAAACAGAGACCACAACGACAAATGTTTTCCTTCTGACTACCACTTAACTTCATTTTTTCCCATGATGTTACAACCTCGGGTGATTGGTGGACAACTGATCTACTACCTAGACGTGGACGTTATGGCATAACAATAAGCTTGATGCAAAGTGGATGTGTTTTAGATGGAGATAATGGTTTCTTTTTGGTAGGATAGTTTAATTGACACCAAAGGAAGTGATTTAATATTTGTAGCTTCTAGTTAAAGTGAGGTAACTAACATATAATTTAATTTTCTTTAGTTATTAGCAGACTTAACTACTACTGCTTAATTTAATAGCTTTTATTATTACTACTTGTTTATAATCATTAGTAAGACTTGGTGCCTCATGTTTTTTTAATTAACATCTGTCTCATTAATGGCAAATTGAATAGAATATCTTCAGTTTTATCTGTAGGTGCTGTTGGCTGCTCTACTAACTTGGTTGTATTTTACAGTTGGCACACCTGTGTCTTTATCGTGTGGCTCCATGACCCTGGCCTCCACCGGTGACCCACAGTCCCCTGGGTCACCCACTCAGACCGAGACTGCCGACCTTCATGACTTCGACACCCGAGACCTCGAGACCCCTAGCGTGACCCCCTCCAGGCAGGACACCCTCTCTCCGGAGACATCGGTTACCTCCAGTCCTCAGCGAGGTCACGACCCTGAGTACCCCCATCATCCAGGTCAGCACCGCCACTACCAGAGGGCACCCTCCTTAGACACTAACTCTACCATGTGCTCACGACAGCAACTGAACTCAAACCCTGCTCTCATGGAGGGATCTATAAAAGATTATTCTTTTGTTGATAACCGTCATTATCAAGAACCAACAGATGATAGTGGGGATAATCTATCGCATGAATCCTATGAGCTAATTGAAAGGGAGGGAGGTAAGTGGGCGGGGTCACAGTCGAGCTCTCGGGGCCCCAGTAGGTCCGGTTCTAAGTTAATGATCAATAGTGAAGTGGGAAGTACAGAGGGTCTTGAGTGGGCAGAACTCAAAGGAGATAATAACAGTAGTAGAGGTCGTGCAAGTAGCTATACCGGCAGCCTTCCTCGCAGTCACGGTAGCAGTACTAATAAGCAACAGACAAATGGTTACACTGGCAGCCTTCCAAGAACTCATAGTAGCAGTCAATCTGGTAATTTGTCACGTAGTTTAGCTGGAAGTCGAGCAAGTTCTAGAATCACTTTGGAACTTCCTCTGGATTCCCGGCCGTCCCAGAATGATGATGAGGATCTTGCAAGTCCAGGTAGTCCAGAATTTCATGAAAATAGTGTGTGTGAAATTACAAGTGAAAAAGGATACATTTTAACAACCCGCCATCTTGGAACCATCACCATCACAGACAATACCTCAATGTTTAGCCAAATTTCTCATTCACGTCTCAGTGGCTTAGAACGTCAGGAGAGCCTTCCAGAGAGTATTAGTGGTAGGTCACACTCGAGCAGTCACTCCAGAGTGGGTCGAGAGTCTCACGAAAGTTTACGTGACGTGGGAGATTCCACGAGCATAAGCACAATGACCATGACAACTCGACTTTCTGCCAGCATGAGGGCGGCCAAGGAGATGGGTCACTACGTTGACTACGGTTCATCACAAGAAAGTCTCCACAAAATGAGTTCTTGTGAAAGTGACGGTGGTTCATCGCTCTCCTCTCACACAAGATCTTCTACCACACCTAGACCAATGGACCTTCAACACGGTAATTTCCTTCAGCACAGGCGAAGTACCTCGACAAGTCCTCCAAGTATTACATCCTATTCCTCTCAAACACGACCCCGATGTATGGATTTTACTGCTCTTCACAAAAAGCCGATGTTCCACATGTATGGAGCAGGACGGGGAAGTGACTCGGGGGGCAATACCGACAGTGATATATGCTCCCCTTTAGAGATACCACATCCCATACCTCCTCCCCCAGAGCAGGTACGGGAAGAGGAGGAAGACGATGATGACCTGACCCCTTCCCAGGAGCAGGTGCAGTTTCTTCCACGCCCTGCAGACATGGACCTGATCACAAGAGTTCGGGGTAGCAGTGATGAAGAGGAAGATGATCAGGAAGATATACAGGACTTGGATGAGGAATCAGAACAAGAAGATCAGATCATTGTGGTTATAGAAGAGAAGGGAGAACCGTGTATATTTGATTTTGAAATTTTGCCACCACCCCCGGAGGTGAAAGAGGAATCTCCATCGAGCGGAGAAATGGATCTTACAGACACATCCCGGGAGAGAAGGATCGACGAGAGTGATGCTTCTGAACGCACGGTCATTGAGAGGTTCAGGCTTCCAGATGAACGACTGAACAAGCTTGGCTCCAAGGATAGCCAGATGAGCATAGAAGAAATAGACGAATCAATTCTCGATAGACGCTGTTCGATGACGGGGGAACGAAGACAGTCCGCTCATGATATTGGTCGAAAATCTCCATACCCAATCTCTGACCGGAGACCATCAATTCAGGAACTGGGATGCATGTCTCCTTTGCCAGACAGAGAGCGCAGATCTTCATTACATGATTCTGAAAGGAAATCGCCCTTTCTAGAGACAGACAGGAGGTCGTCAATTCATGACTTAGGTAGACGATCTCCTTATGACAGAGATAGAGAAGAGAGAAAGTCGTCGTCGTCCTCGGAAAGACGAAGCTCAATATGTTCAGATCGTCGTAGTTCGGTATCATCAGAGAGGAGAGGATCTGTGTCATCTGAGCGGAGACCCTCCCTCTCTGATATAGGAAGAAGAACTTCGATATCAATTGAACCCGGGCAGAGGTCTCCTTTTTTTGATGCTCCTGTTTTTGAATTTGAACCAGAGAGAGAATCCGATTCCCTCGAGCCAGATACATCCTCGTCTACCATGGCCTCGGCATCAGAGAAGAGCCCAACAGTCTCTGATATTGAGAGGAAGAACAATTTTTTTGATGGTTTAATGATCGACGATTCACTTATCAGCATGGATGAACTCACTGAAGCTCTCATACCGCCCGAAGAAGTTCCAGAAGCCTTTGCCTCGGTGTCAGGAGCTCGGGTGATAGAGATTGTTGAAGGAATAACAGAACACAAGGTAATTGTAACCAAAGAACCTGAAGAAGAAGAAGAAGAAGATGATGATGAGGAAGATGATGAGGAAGATGATGAAGAGGATGAGGAAGATGATGATGATGAGGAAGTATTCATAAAGGAGAAAGTGATAATAGCCAAAGAAGACAGTGTACAATCAGTAGACACAGAGGGCGAAGTAGAGGGGGATGAGAGTTTGGTAGGTAGAGAAGGTGCAGTGGGTGGTGACACACACGTACTTGATGAGGAAGATGCCATTGGTGCCGTTGGAGGGACAGAGGAAGACCTAGACCGAGATTATTTTGAGGATGATGACGACGAGGATGATCATGCACAAATGAGCGATCAGTCTCCACAGTCCCCTGACCTTGTATCAGAACCTGACGAATACCATGACGATTACCAAGAGCCGGAGTATTACCAACCGTTCACGCGACAGATTGATATGGGCTACGCTTTCCCCTCTCGCACTTTATCTCGTATCAGTGAGAGAAGTACGACCTCCGAGCAGGAACATGAACAGGACCATATTGGTTTACCTGAGCCAGAGCCTGAGCACACGGATAGTAAAATCTCCACGCCCACTGAGGAAAAACTTCCTTCAATTCCTTCAGAAGAACAACAAGGAGAACTACCTTCGGATTATTCTAATTCCACCAGTGATGACAATCAGAGTGATAGGAGAACAAGTTTAAATGCGGAACAGGAAACTCCCCAGCCATATGCAACACAGTTCTTCCTTAGAGATCTACCAGAGTTTGTGCCAGGAGATGAGAGTGATGAGTTTCCTTCCCCTCCAAGCTCTGCTTTCCTGGAGAATCCTCACACAGAACTTAGTCACATAGAAACCTATTATATGGAAATAAACCAAAGAGTGAATCAGAGTAGTGAAGGAATATATGACAATATTCCTGTTAAGTTTGAGGGCATTCATGAGGTCTCTGAATCAGAGTCAGCCTCTGAGGAGAATCACACACTTCAAGAACCTGAAGATAATCTTGAGATGCTAGATGATATACAGTATGTGGAAGAGCTGGAGGAAGAGCCAGGAACATCAGGAGTAAAGGAGAAACCAATTTCTTCTAAACCCAAAACTCCCACACGAGTAAGGAGGGAGCTATCGTCTCCCTCACCACCTCCTCCGCCTCCACCCCCTAGACCATTCATGCGACCTCCATCCCTATCTAGAAGTCCCAGTCCTCCTCTAACACCCCCAACTCCTATTGCTAGAGAAATGCCTATTACTAAGTATGACGGAGCCCAGGCCCTCGATATCAGACACCGAGTGGCCATAGAGTTTGAGGTACGAGGGGGACATCTCCATGAGAGTAGGGAAAACCTTTCCACTGCGGGTCTTACTGCTCAAACTGATAGCGGAGAATGGAATAGCTTTTAGTACATTTTTTTTCTCTTTCTTTTTATAGATTACATATTTGTTACAGGAATAACTCTTGAATATGTGCTGTTACTGTCTGTTACCGTGTCACGATCCCTTACTTTGCTCACCTAACACTTCAATTGTCACCTTATCATCATGGGGAAACACCTGCTCTAAAGGTTTTTTCTTCTTTGCTTAATTGCATAACTGTATAGATTTAAGGATGCGGTTAATCTTGCAATCTCATTCTCTTTTTTGGTGCATTATTCAGGAAGGTAAAGCCTGTCAAGTATTATGTAGTGTGTAAAAAAAAAATTACTGTTTACTGTCAGTTGATTTAGCATCTCAATTATCATATCATATTGGTGTTGATGAGCAATATATTATAAGTCATGAGGACACTTTTTAGCATTTTGATGTTGGTTGCTGTTCTACTGTTTCCTGTTAAAACTTGTCTGAATTTGAAGTCAAGGAATTAGTGCTCTGAAAAATGCTGTATCTCAGTGAAGCTCAATGGAAGATTGTTACCTATGGATTTCTAAGCTTTAATTTAGAATAGAAAAGTTTTAGCACCATTTGCACAACGATATTACAGGTTTAAAAGAAGAGAAGGTCTATTTTCTCGTAGACGATAATCTAACCCTCGTTATATCATAATTTTTTTCATCTTCATAAAAGTCGACTTGAAAAGATTACAGTATTATTTATTTTTTTTTTTTTTACAATATATGTATAGTCACTCAATAAACTATCTTGAATTAGGGAGGTCAATGAATTTCAGAATGAACACTACGACTCCTGTTGTCTCGGTAGGGTTGTCAAAAATCCTTCGTCCTTTGTGTCATATTTTCTCAACACAATTTTGTAGAGATAGTTTTTTGAGTGACTGTACATCACAATTCTTACTCTTGGATGTTGGTAAATATTTTAATTCTAAATTCTAAGTACAAGCTAATATTTTCTTCCACTCGTCGCTCATTAGTGATGGATATTTTACCACAGTAGTTATTACGGTAGTCCCCGATAATGGGGCTGGATTCTCATTACCCGTCATTGTTCCGTTAAGAGGATTTATGAACCTAAAGGTCAACCACTTAGAAATATATGACCATATACTCTCTCACCTTGAATTTGAGTATATATGTATATCAGGGTGGCCACATTTTGTTCTCTTTTTTATTATGTTCCTTGAATGTTCCAAAGATTTTTATTATTTTTTTTTTTAAGATTCTGAACATTATT